CGGCCGGACTTTGCAAGTTTACCCCCAGGACAAGTTTTTGAGACGCAAACTTGAAAAAGAAGCACGCGACCGCGAAAGACGCTTCTCTCCGAGCACTTCGTTCGGTAGAAACCCAAGAACGCATTCCCTCAAAGTCACCAATTTGAATTATAAAATCAACGAAGATGACTTGAAGAAGCTTTTTGAGCCCTATGGCACCATTGCTGACATCTACGTCCCCCGCTTACGCTACACGCGTATCAATAAGGGATTTGCATTTGTGAGATACTATCGAAAATCTGATGCTTATTATGCCATCAGCAAATTGGATAAGTCGACTGTTAAGGGCCGTCAAATCTGTGTTGCAATGGCCAAACTTGGACAACCACCCCCGTATCGCAATTATGCTCATGGAACCGACAGGAAACACTAGAAGATGGGCCCCATTGCTCAATGCTTCCGCACCCGTCAAACAGAGGGCGCTAATTTGATGAAATGTCTAGGCTTTCATATATTTGTTCAATTTAAACTAGTTAAAAATCTGTTACTTGTTCAAATAATTGTAACATGATTGTATTTTCTACTTATATGTTTGATGTTGTTCATTATTTGTTCACATGATTGTGTACTTTCTACTTATGATATGTTTGATATTGTTCACATGATTGCGTACTTTCTACTTATGATATGTTTGATATTGTTCATTATTCGTTCACATGCTTGTGTATTTTCTACTTTTGATATTGTTCATTATTCGTTCACTTGTTCATGTTTTTAAAGTTTGATAATAAATTATTTTTTCAAGTTTTTTTTTTTTTTGGTTACACAAATAGTAAACGTTTATGTGACAAATAATTACAAACTTGTGACTAAATTTTATCAGCAAATCTTTTAAATATATAAGGTCAGAGGTGAAAAAGAAAACATTTTTATACTTTTGATAATTGATTTGTTAATTCTAAGAAAAGAAACAATACTAAATATAAACTTAAACAAATATAAACATTTTACATGAAAATTTTCTAAATATCAACATGTTTTACAATATATTGGATGCAAATGCAGCATCTGTGTATTCTAAATTTTTTGCTTATGTGTTTTAAACTATGAAGTAGAAGACAATAAGCAACAGTAAAATTTCAATTCTTAACACGCAACATAAACTAGTTTTTCAAAACACATAAAGCACCAATTGTTTAATTTGCTGTTGCATATAACTTATTGTGCTTGCCGCGTTTTGATTATCAACAATAATAAATAATATGGAATGTTCCCTAGCAGTCATTTCATAGAAAATAGGAACTAAACAAATTCGAAGCAGGAAAACTAATAACATCTAATAACAGCCAAACTACAGTCACAGTCTAAGGCAAGAAAAGAAATCAGAATTTTACCTTGCGGCCACGAAACACAAACTTGAGTGACTCAATCGCAATCTGACTAGGAAAATTTATTGACGTGGCCGCGCAGGGAGAGGAGGAGGAGGTGCGGATCGGGCAGGTACAGGGGGCGGTTCTCTTTGAGGCGTAGGAGGCGCCGGTTCCGGCCGTGGAGGCGGCGGCGGAGGCGGCCCTTGAGGCTCCGGCGCACTCACAATATCGTCGTTTATCTCTTCATAAATTCCGGTGTCTTCGGGAAGTTCAGGAGGCGGCATACTAGGAGGTGCCGATGAGTTCGTTGTAGGGAGACTTATCACGCCCACTCGTGGGGGCGGTCGTTTGGGCGTTGCCGGGGATTTGACTGAAGGTGGAGGGGGGCGGCTTGGAGGGCCCGGTCGGGACGCCTTCACCTCCGGAATGCCTAAACCTACCAAAAGCTAAGTCAACTCACTTTTCGTCGCCATTTTCACTTACAGTTATAGTCGGATTGGGTGGGTGAGGTGTACAAAGGAACAGTGTTGCTGGAACACAAACCAACTTCCTCTTTCGCCTCGTCGACCCAATTTGGTGTTTTCAGTGATAAAGTTAGATTATATTCCGGAATCTGCAAAATGAGTTAAATGACAGTTGACAGTTGTTTTCGGTAATTTACTCGTCCTTGTGTTTTGTTCATTATTTTGAGAACGGATTGGCCATCCCGGAATGTTATCCACATGGTGTCTGCGATGAATCGCACCAAAATCGCTTCACCAAACTGGGTGAAGTCTTCTAGAAGTGTTGCGACAAGTTGGTCGTCGAAAACTTCATCATTTTGGGATGTGTCCTCATAATGGATTATTATAGTACCATCAGGAGGCCCCATATCGGCTATCACTTCATAAAACATGTTTTGGCGTTTAGTTTCATCAATTTTTCGAGCGGTTATATCGATAATAGCAATAACGGGTCTGTGGTCACTCTGTTTCAATTCAGCGCGTCCATAGAACACTAATTTACCAGGATTTGAATCTTCTAATTGACTTGTTATAGCTAAAGATTGTTTACGTCGTCGCCACAAAACCCTATCAGTCCACGCCGGAGCTCGACACTTCTCACTAGTGTCATAGTCATCACTGAATAAATCATACTTGTATGTAGGCGGAAATGTAATTCTTCCTTCAGTAAAATCTTTAAACACATTCCCTTCTTGTTGTTGTTTCTGGAAATCAATGATAATTCATTAAGAACTCTAACCAATTATAAATTACCATCAACTGGTCACTTTCAAGAATCCGATCATAGTCACCAATCTTTACCAATTCTTTTATTTCATCTTTATCCATATCAACTCGATAGTTAAAATCACCACACCAAAATAAGTACTCGTGCGAGTTTAAAGACCGGCTCTACGATAACTAAGTCAGAGGTGTTTAGTCTGCGGTCCGCACTTACCATCGGGAAGGTAATTTTCCGAGTGATTTCGTTATAATCGGCATTGCGCTCACTAACTTGTGACTGTCCGGCTGCGAAATGTGCACATACAAAGCACAAGGACGTGGCATGAAACACTATTCTGATTGCAGCGGCCCCTTTATTGCCTGTATGCCCTCCTAGACCGGTTTTAACCGAGTCAACCGCCACATCGCGAATGTAAGGCACATGTTCAGGCCTTACAAAAACATACAAACACACCCCGACTAACTGTTGATAGGTGACCAAAACATAAGGGCGATCACGTGACAAGACCTTCTGTAATTCCGTCGCCCAAGACTTTGCGTTTTCGCTACTAGTATTAACGATATTGGCGGCATTTAAATCGACAATTTCCTCAAAACCAATGGCGTAAATATCGACAGGGATTGATTTATGTTCGTCAGTATATCCCGTATCGACTAAAGTCCCAGGATTTTTTATGTGGGGGTCCAGTAACCAATCAGAAAGCTTGATATCTTTGAATACAACACTGCGAAAGTGTTTGCCACCGTTGACATTGTATGTGCCTACGGCTATACGTACTGGAAGAGGGTCGGTATATTCGGTGTATCGTTTACACATTTCACGTAAAACGTGAGGTGGCGCTGGAACACATTATCAATTGCTTGGTTTTGTGTTTTGGGGGTTTACCATGAAGGGTGTTGTAAGGAAGAAGAATTCGTGCTCGGTCGGCAAGCTCAGTCGATAAAGTAGAGCCCACAAGTAAAATGTCAATTGCTTCTTGTTTCGAATTGTCAAGAAGGTTGTTTTGGATTGTTCTAGCTGCTGATCGGGCTCCATCCATTAGCTATACCAACAAAAACTATAAAAAAAACCCCTGAAGGTTTTGTTTTTACCTTTGATCCGCCTTGAATAGCGCCAGTCCCGGCATAAATCTTACTAATTTCGTTCCCGTTATTAATCCACATTTGTCTGAAAACCTCCTCAAACCGCGAAACGGTTTGTTTCTTATCAACTAACTGCATCGCTTGTAATTGTTTGCCTAAAATCTACCAATCGGTTACTTCAAGCTTTGGCTGTAAAGGCAGTTAGTTACCTCTAACCCAAAAAACGTTTGAACACAATTAGTCCTATCTAAACAGTCTAAACAATTTGTTCGAATTGTGCCCGTTTGTAAGCTACAAATTATTAGTTTTTCGAGACGTTCACAAACTACACATGCAACTTCCAAACACCCTTACCTGTATATTGTACTCCCAATTGTATGATAAAACGAAAATTCTTGTAATTGTTCGTCAACTTTGGCTTTAAGTTTTTGTAAATTAGCTTGGTTACCACCGCGGCATTCTTGGTGGTAATCAAATACGATATGCGGAATGTCGGTATGACACGATTCCTTATGGTGTTTCTAAAACCACAAAAATAAATCCAAATTCGGTCACAAAAATGCAATACTTGAAATTCCTGACTTAAAGTAGCTTCACCTTCTTTGCTACCAATTAGACTTGTACCTAAGAGATTGACAATGACCTGTTTGCCATATCTCTCTTTGATAGTTTTCATATGTCTATCAAAAGCGGCTTTTGAGGCTTCATAGCCTCGCGAAATCCGAACTTTATGCGAACCTACCTATCAAAAAAAAATTAAATTAAAGAAAACGCTGTCTTTTAGACATACTTGCACTCCCGGTTGTTCCCAAAACAACGGTACCGAACCCCTAGTTTGTAAATACGATGAAACTTCATTTTCTAAATAAATAACTTGTTCAGTTTCAACAAAATTCGCTACGTGCCCTTCATCATTACTCCCTCTCACATTAAATCTACAATTGGTGGTTTAGAAAAATTTAGTGTCTAAATGATCGAAAACCTTGTTCCGGCTCTTTCACAGCTCAGGCGTGAAACAACAGCAGCTAGGGCTTTCCTATGCCCGACATAAACAGTCCTGACTTCAACTGAACCACACATAGCCCTCACCAACCAAGAATTACAATCGACACCAAATCTAACGAGGTGAACATGTAACATCCGGTTCCTATAACACAATTAGACAAAAAAAACCTAGTGGTTCAATATTACCAGAAAAATCTGTGATCAGTCGTGCTTGTTTTATGTCGCCTTTGGGCACACAATGTCAAGTCCAGTTGATTACCACCAGGTGGTCCGGAGTACCAAGAAAAGTAAAAAGTTCCCGAATTGAGCAATTTACGCACCTGCAACACCACCAATTAGTCGGTGAAAGAATATAGTATGTAACACAGTAACCCACTTCCGCTATTCGATCCTCATTTTGTTGGTAGTGCAAAGGAACAAATTGCGTTTGTGTTATTCTAAAAATCTCTGAATCCCCTATTTTCCCCACCGAAAAACAGCCAGTGACCATGACAAGGTACAAAACTGTTGAATCTCCTGAATACAATTGCAGAACACCTAAGCAGCCATAAGCATCTAATATTTTGGTGTACTCCTTTTTGACAACTTCCATTTCCGGTGTGGCTGAAATAGTGCCTTTAGAAGGTGTTAAATAGGTATAGGGTCACTTACAAAGGACAGCCACAGCTTGGGATTCAAAAAGTAAAGTCTCATCTTTGCCCCTGCGTTGCAATAGCACACTGTGGGGATTAGGGGGTTTAGATTTTTCAAGAACGGAAAAGCCCTTATACATAGCCATGGTCAAGATTGAGATTTGTTTATTCGATCATTTTATTTGAGACTTTACACTGAGTACAGCTGATCTGTTGATATTCGAGCACATACACCCCCTAACCCTAACCAAAATCAATTCGACTTGCGTCGCCGTAGAAAGAAACTCGAGTTTATGTAGGTAGAACATAGAAGAACAGAGAACGACAGTAATGCTACGTTTACAAAACGAGTAGCGTAACGCAAAGTTTGAGTAGGTAGGCACACTCCAAAACAAGCAGGTTTAGGTATTGCATAGCATCAAAGTGCTGTGAGCTCGAAGGGTAAGAGGGCCGCTCCATGTTTCACATGATTCCATATGATTCAATCAGTTGTTATAGTCCGAAATTTGGGAACATGTGTGTTGATTCTTAAAATTAAGGAGCAGTGATCTAATAATTACACCTAATTACTAATTACCGTTTTTTTGTTGTTCTAGCCTCGAATAACCACCTTTACCAAAATGAGAAAAACATTAGAATTGCAAATGATGGCACCTAATTAGAGTTACTTAAGACAGTTAGGAACTACAAACTTCGATGCTGCCAATTTACAGATACCTTTTTCGGAGCGTTTTTATTATTTTAATGTCTGGCTTAATTAGAGAATTTTTGAACCTACCTATCGATTTGAGTAGAATAACAAAAGCGGAATTTCGTTGTGGCCGAGACAATGAATTATGTTTACGAAACAAAGACTGCATTTTTGTAACAATAAAAAAGAAATAAAAATTTCACAATGCAAATCTAAAACAAAACAAACTACACGACACTCGTGTCACTTATTTTAAACATATTATGACCTCGAGACGAAGGTTCTATCGCAAGATGAAGATCTGCGATGAGTAGAAGCTAAATTAATTATCCATCATGTAATTATTAAAACTTTTTTATATATAGTTATTTTTTTAATAGAATGTTATATATTTTATATAACTGCGAGAAATAGCAACCTACACTATTTTATCAGATTTTGACTTTCGATTTATGACTAAGAAAGAAACTTGTAAACTCTCTTGACAGTTGATTACTTTTGATTTATATCTTTGTTGCTATATAATTGTCATACCTATTTGTATGTCTAAGCAAATGTCATAAAATTTTATGATCGGATTGATGTTTAGGTACTATCAAACCACATAAAGCTCATATTATTATTATTCAATTATTGAAAAATAGGTCTTGTTATGAAATGTTTGTGTGGTGTGACAGATTTAGCAGAAATGTGATCAACATATAATTTATCCATTGTTGGGTTATTCAGGCAATTCTCTCATTAAATCTGCAGTTCTGCAATTGTATTAGGTATACTTGCTCACGCTTTAATAGTAGTTATTTCGTTAAAAAGTAACAAGAGGTAAAAATTTTGTATTAATGTTCTTTGACTTACAAAAATAGTACATTACCAACGAGGTGGTAAATATGTCATCACCCCAAGCGCTCATCGAGAGGCGCCAGGGGTAATGTCATTACCACCGAGGTTTGTATGCTATTTTATTCACAATCACATCATTTTTAGTCAAAAATTTGAATAAAATAAAATTCTAAGAAAGTTAAGGTCCAAACTTGGTAAGCCATCCAAATTGCGTTTAATTTTTGACATTTCACAAATCAAAGAAAATATTGAAATAATGTGTGAATCTGATATTAAGATTGTTGAAATAGAACAGTGTAGTCCGCTAGAAGTAAGAGAAACTGCTATAGAAGCAATTGAATACTAATTTAGCAAAATATTATGCGTAACTTGAGAATTTGAAAGATAAATTTCCTGGTATTTTTGTAATCTTAACGTTGTCAAACCTGCATATTACCGCCCAAGGAATAAAATGATATTACTGCTCATGAGATTTAATGATGTGTTTCCCAACCTTTAAAAGGTTAGTAATCGGCATATTACATTAGTGATTGTGAATAAACATTTTTGCGAAAAATGGTTAAATTCTCTTTAGAGAACTTGTTTATGTACTTATTTATTACAAATTACTGAAAAATGGAGTTATCGGTTTTTGCAGTAACCCGACGATATGTGGATCTAGTTTGAACAGTTTGATTTTAGGTCAGTTAATATCAATATAGTTGAGCTGTTTGAACTTCTTTTAAATGGCATAGATCTATATAGTAGTATTTAATTATGACATATTAGTGAATGTGGGTGACAAAGTTACGTATTTATTGACTTTGAGACGAACAACGGTTAAAGAAATATATGGAACACATGGATTTGATAAAAAATCGAATAACTGTAACAACAATAACTTAAGTAATTATCACATTGGCAATGTTTGCAAAACAGAGATGAAATATAGATTCTTTCATTTAGTTCTTCTTGAATGCTTGAATCGTCAATCGAATGCGACTCTTCGCCAAATTAAGTGCAGAAAAATGCTCTTTAACTATGTCATCATTTTCGCGTGTGCGTTAATAGTACATTGCAAAAACATCCCCGATAATAACACTGCTATTATATCAACGTATGCGAAAGTGGCCCATTGGGGTGCCGTTCCATCCACGACGCAAAAATCGCAATCCGAGGGTAGAAGTCACAATGGGCAAACTCTCTGGACTCACAGGTAAATCATACAGTACCAAAAATTATGAAAAATAAGTCCAATTATTTTCTAGATCGGACGTTAACATAATTAGTGGTCAAAATTTTAAATCGTCGAAACCCTCCGTCGTCTATCAGTACCCCGTCCAAAAAGTTGGCAAAGTCAAACCCGAGACTGCCCCAGCAGTTGGCGAAGTCCAAGAACGTTTCAATCCTCGTCCTTATTTTGACTACACACAAGTGCCCTCAAAACCCAAAAACGAGCAAAAACCGAAAGACTCTCCTCCAACCTCAACTTTCGACAGTTTTCCAGTGTTTAACAAACCACAGTCCCCTCCTCCCACCGACCTTTACTCCTCACAATACAACTCGTACAATCCTCCTCACACTGGTCCTGTGGCACCCCCTGATGACAAACCTGATATCGCTTACCCCCCAAATGCTCCTCCGCCACCAGACAACACTGATGCTACTCCTGATGACTCCAGTGGTTATTCGTACAACCCACCTGAAGACACGCCTCCACAATCTGCATATCCATCACTTGGACCTCCATTAGCCCCCAATGACGACCACAAGGAGCAAGTTTACTACCCTCCAAATGACAATAACGGACATAAGGAACAAGTTTACTATCCTCCTTCTAACAATGGTGACAATGGTCACCAAGAGACAATTCTGGACCATCCTCCTCCCGGCTGGGAGGATAGTAAAGACATGGCAGCTCCTCCGGATATGATGCCACCATCACCACCCGCAATGAATGGCCATGACATGGCCGAACATGACCTATCACCTCCCCCATCTCCCGATTTTGGAGGCCAATTCCCTCACTATCTCTACAATGGGCCAAATGGAGGAGGCCACGACGTTGACTATGATTTTGAACATCACCACGTCTATAAAGAAATCACCACGACAGAAGCTCCCGAAGACGAACGAGTCAATAAAGGCCACTACAGTTACTATTATTTAGGCAGAAAACTGTGGTACATCCCTTTGTATTTTAGTGTTTATTTTATTATTTATGTAACAGTCTTAATTCTGAAATCGATCGCGAGACATAAAATACAGTTCAAACATGAACATTTTCATCGAGACATGTCAAAAGATATGGACCATCATGGGCGGTCACTGAATATTGACGAAATCCATGAAAATGTCACTGAGGGTATTGAGAAAACTAGAAGGAAAATTGCTTTTGTCGCTATGTAAATGAATTTGTATAAAATGTTTTAATAAAGATTTAGACAATTAAATATTGCATTTTATTTATTGACAGATGAGACAGGTTAAATCGAAAGTAAGACCGAATTTAAATAAAGTTGTGTATGCCGACGTCTAAACCTCCAGGGGGCGAGAGGAACAAAGGGGGCGACTGAAAAAATAAATATTTGTCTAATAAATCAAACGTGCTCTATATGTGGGCGAAATTTCCCTTTTGTTTAAATTCGCCTATATATAAATGTGTTTCAAAAACTTTGTTTCATTTATAAATACCGTACTTTAATTATCGCGTATGGTTTTACTCCAGTTTATTAATCTGTGTATATATAACTAACAGAATTCCAGTATTATTTGTGATTGCAATTATTACCTAATTCCGTTAGCCATATATGTGCTAAATTATTATAATTAGCACACTTTTGAGACGTCTCCTTGAAATAATGATAGTCTCATTCGAGATTTACAACGACAAAGACATTTTTTCATTGTTTTTACCCCAAACCATTCCCTCTGAAAATCTGTACTTAGCCGGAGGTGATTCAGTAGTGACAATGTTGTCTAGTTCCAGTGCAAAATTCTTAGTGATTGTGTTTTTCGTGGACTTATCTCTCGCCAAAACGACCAACTACCCTCTAGCTACAACAGTACAGCCGATCGAAACGTCGACAAAATCAAGGTATTTATCGCAATTAAAATGCTTTCCATGAGAATGAACGCGATTTCGATTAGATATGAGCAAGGCTTGGAGGACTACGACGAAGCCCAAGCTCGAGAAGGGAGAGGCATGATGGAATACGACGACCACGACCCGCATGATCACGATCACGATATGCAAGAGCAAAAAGCTGTCAAAGACGACCCCTGGAACGGGTACTACGATTTTATTATAAACGAGGGCTCGTTCAAATTCTGGGCCGCCTTCCAGGTATGCATTTTCATTCAAACACTGCTCACGTTTGAGCTTCCCCAGGAAGCTCAACGGATGGTACCAGCTTATTAATAGCATTTTTTTCATTGAACGTTTGATACGTCTTGGCGATATTATCGCAGACAAAAGAATTAATCAAATTCTCATCATTTTCATAGCTAATTATTCGATGTTTAAAGCAATTATTATGTCATTTATAATTTTTTGCTTTTTTTCAGCTTGTAACAGCTCTCTTGCTAGTCTATTCGGCATTCGCGGCTGTTTACTATGCAAAATTCAATGTCATTACTACAGATTATGATTATTATGATGGTTTCTTTGGAAGGTCAAATCAGGAATCGTCTTCGAGCAGTTTATGGTCAGGTTTATCGGCGCAAACATTTCAAAGGATATTCGACGCTTTATCTTCAAAAAAATATTCATAAATGTAGACAACGAAAAGACAGACACTTTCCGTGTTTGGACTTTTCGTGCAAATAAATAAATAGTTGAGTTTTTAAAACTTGTGTTTTATTTATAACCAGTCAAGTTTTGGTAACGGTACCAGGAAACAGTTTTTGTGTTTTGTGTGGTTTGCAAAATACGACAAAACAAGTAAAGCGCTAAGAATCCCATCATTCAAATAAAAAAAAAATCACACTTGTGATCTGATGACTTGTCTAATTAAATCCTATTATAATAATTGTCGATTAATTTCCATACAATCAAAGGTAATTTTTCAATGATCTCTATCCATATTCTGCAACTGGCCTCAGTATCGTCTAATAGGCATACCCACTTATATTATTCTCGTAGTTTCAATTAGTTGCACGTTGTAACAGTTACTTACCTGAAAAGAATAATCATAGTAGAATAATTCAAGTAGATCACAAAGATCGAAGAAAATTACTTCACGTTGCCTAACAGTACTTAATATCAAATCGGGAGTTCCGAAGTCCAAAGATGAAGTTTTTGGTATTACCGAAAGTGAATTGATTGGAGAATGTTATAATTTGTAATGGCAGCGTGGGTATGTGGTGGAGACGCATAAGTATCCGCGATAACCTGTGCAGTGGGTACTTGGAGTGCGGTTTGGTGCCATTGAACCCGCTCTAAGGCACTTCCTCTACACTGTCGTCTCTACTCTCTATCCTCAGCCCAGGCAAAAAACCCTGGAACCCTCCTACGAAATTTTCAAAAAATCGGCGCCTTTAAGTTTGTTAACACTGTATTCTCATTTCCCACGCGTTGTTTAGCAAATTAATAGAGTACTATTGTAAGTAAACACAACAAATAAGAAGAGTAAATCCCAGCGTGCTCTTGTCTATCACGCAACGGGGAAATCTTCTCAAAAAGATCCCACGTTATCTAAAAAATGCATCGAAATTTGCTAGAATTGCCTATCAGGTTCGCTTAAGACGCCTAAGCGCTGCAGGTGTAAGAAGACCGGAGATGGAAGTCAGAGAAGCTCAGAGTTTCTGGGGGCTTCGGCGCGTTCACATGGCTGCGGTAAAGAACTAGACGAAGTTTGACAGTGACCATGCTTGTAATTTTGTGATAAGTGATGGAGACTTTTTGTGCTTCGGGGACACCCCAGAAATTTCGAACCGGCAATTTCCATAATGTACCTTGTCATAGAAATTTGCGCCAAATCGGGGTAAGTAGGTACACCGAGAGGACCTTTGGTCAAAACAAAACGAAATTTCCATAAAACACCCTGAGGACTGTTACTATGTCTAATGTCGATGATTTGTGAGTTTTTTTTTTTTCTTTAAGGTGTTGCTACAATTCTATTTCCGGTTCAAATCAATAAAGTTCATCTCATTAATGTCAGTAATTCAATGTACAGTAAGTGCATTATGAATTGGCAACATGTGGTCGAGGTACAAGTTAATTGCATCGGCGATTTTTCTATAAATCTGATAATTCCGTTAATGCTTTCAAGATTGGAACATTGGTCTGAGTGAGCAAATATTGTTCACACGGGTTGACACAGGTGTAGCCGCGTTAAATAAATCTTGACCTACCTAAACACTGATTAAAGTTTGTCGTCTAGTTTAGGAACGTGACAAGTTTTTGCCGATTTTCCCACAGAATGTGGATATCAGGCAACAGAAATATTGGCTGAGTCTTTTGTCTGAAGCACCGGACCGGAAGATCATTTAAATTTTTATTGTTGGCAGTTCCTCTCAGATCATGGCCAAAAATACCAGCCTTGGTTTTGCAGAAGATGAAGCTACAAAATTTTAATCAGCGTTTTTTTACCTTGCAACTCTTCAATATTTTTACGCTACGATGAAGCTAAATTAAGTGTTTTTTCTCAATTATTTTCGTTTGGTTAAACATCAATAAAAGGAGGATACCGCTCAATAATAACTAGCGATCATTTTATCTAAAATTTAAATTACAAAGTAAGCGATGAGATTTCACAAAACTGACAACCATGAATTACTCTTACAAACTAAATTACTCGGATTTTTCTTTAACTAAATCCAAATTAGAATTGCAAAAACTGATAACTGGTACTCGAATTGCAAATATCCAATTTCCCACTAAAACGCCTCATTTAATTCCAATTACAACGCGTTTATCACTACGTTAAGCGGGGAATATATTTTTTTACACGGTGCGATTTTAATTTTTCATAGCCATTTGAGCCACTCAATTTCATTTTATGTGTTTGAAGAAAAGTAAAATGAGCACACATTCGCGTGTCTTTGTTTGAATAAAACCATTAGAAACATATTATCACTTCAACGAGACAAATAAAACATCTTTACTGCAAAAATTTTATTGCTTCTGCTTCCACAGCAGCACATACATAATCAAATCGCAACGCGAAAATAAATCTCAGAGATAATTAATGTCTGATGGCCACAATTTGTTTCCTCAAGTGTGCGCAATAAATTTAAAATTTTTGAACTAATATTTCGAATATTTCTTTGTTTGGTCACTTTTATGCGTTTATTATGTCCAATAAAAACAACTTAAGTCAACATTTGACTTGTAGTTATGTCACACACGAAAGAAGACTTGGCTTGAAAACAATATCATTGTTTAAGTTCCAGCGTATAGAATATTAAAATGTGTGGCAATGCACGGTTAAGCGCTTATCATTTTATTTCGTTCCACCTGAATACTATAGTGGTAGATGTGGATCCGTTTGAAAAGTTAGGGTTCCTAAAATTATCCGTTTAAATTTGTTATTTTTCTTCGACCACTATTGAAAATTATCGTTTCTTACTTGAATATGTACGAAATTGTTTTTGTTTAAAAATAGAATATTTAATACATTAACTTGAGAATAGTTAAAAGACACGAAAAAATAATATAATATGCACTTTTATCCATCAGAGGCAGGTTGAAATAATAAAATAAGAAATTAGTTTAAGATTTTTTTATCTACAATAATAATTCTTTTTTTTTCTTTGAAAAAAGCATTAGTATGTTATTTGCAGTTTGCATAGGATCATTTTAGATCCAAATTTAATGCATCAGATTCGATTCTAGATTTCTCTTTTCATTTGAGATTCCAAATTTCGACATATAACGCTACTGAATAGTCATAAAACTCAACAAAACTCTAAAAGCTCACCCGTGTTGTAGGTTTTGATTAATTCAACGTTTCATATGTGCCGTTAAAGCGCTGTAATAAACTAAGGCGTGATAAATTCTTGCGTGTTCTTATCATTGTTTCTATTTAAAGACCACCACCGAATGATGGTAGATGAATGATGCGATAGAATCCAGGGTCAGAGAATCCTGACAGTGACCGTAGAACTATATGAAGAGAGTGCACAATGCCGGCCTTGGCTCTGCTAAATCGACATTCTTTGAGATTCTTCGTTTTTGGTCCAAATTAAAAATACAGGACGATGAACCTTCTATGCACGAAAAAATTACCTTTAATTAACGCTGAATTTTGTTTATGGCCGGTCAATTATGACAAATTGGACGTTTCCGGAATTTAAGCGGATGGCCGATGTAAATCAACAAATGCGAAGGTCTTCCAATGCTTGACAAACTGAAATAATTATAGGCGGCTGCTGCACAAGAAAATACTTAACTTAAAAATAATTTTTAAATGTTCTTCCATTCAACAACTGAGCGAAAATAATGTATTATAGCCCCTGAAATGCGTAATTTGAGCCACAAGTGGTTTGATTGGCCACGTAATCACTGCCGCAGTTTATATAAGGCGTTTTGTGTGTAGCGAATTTACGCAAATTAAATTTAATCATAATTTTTAAGTCACTTATAGTGGAAAGAAATACTAAAATAAAACGGTGAAAAATGACTTTTTCAAGAAAAATAATGCAAGGCTTATAGTTATTATTTATTTAATATTTTTACATTACAATGTTTTGATATACAGGGTGTCCCAGCAAGTTGGTAAAGTCCATTAAATGATAATATTTAAAAAAATATATATAGGACATTGATAGATACAAATCTAGTTTATTGCCTAAAATTATTTTCAAGTATACAATAACGTGTCCCAAAAATAAGTTACAATACAAACTTGTATTTTTTTAAATAAAACACCATACATTTTTGAATGTAGTTTTTCATGACATTATTTATAAGCTAAAATTTTCATTGGTCGATTTTGTTTAGTTTTAAAAATAGGACGGTTTTTTTGACTTTTTACTTTTTTTTTACTTTACACTTTAAAAATTTGTTACATAAAAAACTAAGACATCTAGAAATACGTTTTTTACTACTGCAAAGAATGAAGTACAAGCTATAAGTCTGTAACATTTTAGTGTGTTGCATTTGCAACGTTCGTTAAAAGTTCAATAACTTAAAAAAAATAATAAAACACTCTATTTATTGTTTTTTCATTTAAGAGATTATTAAATTGTCTTTCCAAGATCATTTACTTTTAGGTGTTTATAATCCATAACTAAAAAATTATTTAACTTTAAACATTAAAAAGAAACTATTGTTTCAGTAGCCAAAAAGTGCACAATTGTACAATAGTTGAAAGAAATATCACTTATTAACCGAAATATCTTTTAATAATCACATTGAAATTTTTTAACTTATTTACAGTCAAATTAAAAAAAAAAAAAGTGGTCGTCAATGTCATATTTTGGCATAAAATTAATTATTCTTGTGTAAATGAGCTTACTTAAATTTACAAAAATACATTATTTGGCATCATGAAGTTTGGTACATACTTTGTCATCAACTCAATTTTGTTGTGAAAATGTAAATCATTTATTATTTATTTATTAATTATTAATTTTCTAAATGACAGTGATGACCACTTTTTTTTTAATTTGACTGTAACTTTTAACAAATTTCTTAATTTTTTAATTTTTACAAATGCAAATCAATAAAAAATTGTTACAACTTTAAATTCTGTACTTTTTTCTTTGCAGAAGTAAGAAAAACTTTGTTCTAGCTGTCTTAATTTTTTGCACCTTTTTATCAAAAAAACCGTCTTATTTCTAAAACTAAGCAAAATCGACTAATAAAAGTTTAGTGTAAAAACATTGTTTTAAAAGGCTACATCTAAAAATGCCAAGAAACTTATGGTGTTTTTAATCTTGTAAATTTTATATTTTTTATATTAAAGTGTAACAATTTTCCATGGCTGATGATGGCGCAAGGGTGCCGAAACATGTCCCAACTTGACTAAATAAAATTTATCGATTTGTGGAGTTGACTTTAATATTACTTACTGTTTAAAAATATGGTGTTTTATTTAAAAAAAAACACAAGTTTGTATTGTAACTTATTTTTGGGACATGCTGTATGGTTGAAAATAATTTTATGCACTACATTAGTATCTATTAATTTCTTATACACATCTATTAAAATTTTATTATTTAAAGGTCAATATTGGACTTTACTAACTCACTGGGACATCTGTTTTGAGAAATAAATCCAAATGGGTGCTGTAATACTCATTCAGCACTGAAATTGAAATGTTCTGAAAATCAGTTTGAAATGGATTCTGTATTGGGTTTTAAATTATTGCCATTGATTAAAAATGGAGATAATGGTGATGGTTGAGGACTGGAGACGGCCTGTGGAGGGTGTCGGCGCGGCGTCTCCTCTTCTTTGTTGAGTTTTTGTAAAATCTCGAAGTATGCGTAATGATAATGAAGGCAATAAGATTAGTGTGACGTAGTCTTAAAGAATCGAAGAATAAGTGCGAGTGCAGCAATTAAACCGGTCGTCGGTTGGCGGTCGCCAGAATGGACTAATGTAGAAAATCGCGTGTAGATGATGGGGGTAAGAACCTTGCAAGGTCGATTGCTTATCTCGATGGATGGATCTTCAGTTGTCTTTTAAATAGCGGACGCAGTGAAGAGATCGCTTTTGGTTGGCCTAAAAGCCGCATCAATTACAATTTATCACATTGTTGGGCGCCAAAAACCAAGACCACCCGTGTTATTGCTGGAAATCGCTAATTGTTCTGCCCTACGTTCCCGAGATGCCTTCGAGGGACTTATTAAAATACCCGGGACATATAATATGCCGAAAGTATTTGCTTTTCATTAGCTACAAAAAACTTTATCGAGATTTGTCAACACGACGGGAAAAATCACGCAGTCATGACTGTACCCAAAACGGTACTCGCTGTAATTTGTGAGAATTCACGTTTTATTTTATAACAACGTGAGAAAACGGAAATCTTACTGCCTAATTAATTATTCGAATTTATTTGTAGCAGACTATATTATAACGGGACTTGATTCTAATGCCTCAAAAGGTACCATCTGTAACTTTATTAGATTTGTCTGGAAAAATTTGTGAATCCTCTCAAGCATAAAATAAGATTAATATCGTTTGAGACCGGCTAGGGCGTTGCCTCGATATTATATAACGGGTTTAAATGTTTGCGGATAAAGTTCTAGGTAGGTATAATCTGCATCATCTTAATTTGATGCGTTTTACGACCACTTTAACCGAAAACTGGTCACAATTAAATCAATTTCGTCATGCCGCCTGTAAATCAACATTAATCCTCTAAAAACTGTAGATTAATTGAGACTAGACTTGTTCCGAATCAAATTATTTTGTTTTCAATTAAAACTTAGAAACTGAGGATAACATGAATCGAGCTGTGAATAATCGAGCTCGTACTGTATTTTACAGTCGCATAATTATAAATTACATTTTTAGAAATCACTGTCTAATATCTGTCATTACATGTAGCTGTAACTGTAGTTAAATAGGTAAAAAGAGATAATTTTGATAAAATCACCTAACCGTAAACAAAATCCATCATCAGATGATCAGTTTGAAATTCTTTGTTGCATTAAAACAGCGCTTAAGCAGCAACAAAGAGTCTTACGATTGAATTCTCTACGCATTTCAACTCGACATAATTATTTCAAGTACGGACAAAAGAACTTAACGATACATTAAGTTACGAACCTCGACTCTTTTCAAAAATAAATGTGTCCTATATGAGTCGTCTAGCTTTGACACTTCCTTGGGTAAATGAACTTTTTATTTCCGTTATAATACAGTGAAATATGAAACAATTTGTAAAAACAAAACGACATCAAGTTTACTGTTATTTGACATGAAACAATAAATTTGTTGCCCTTGTCAAATTATAGCAATCATTTCAAGTTTTTTAATGACCGTTGTGTCATCGCATTTCTTAATCCGATCGTGACACTCTTCATCAATAATCTCGTTTCGATTTCAGAATGATTACGCAATGCCGGTTTGTAATCGCCGATCAACCCCTTCGGTTCACACCCTTTGGCAAGAGAGAATGTCACCAAGGTCTTGCACTGAACGTAAATCAAGAGGTCGATTGTGTTCGGTCGCTTTAGCTATAGCCTCTTTTCTTGTCTTCGTTGCAGTATTGTCTATTGCAGGAATGGCTCTCTACATGGGGGCGTTACATACCGAACCTCCTAGTAGCAACAGTGAGTTGTGTATAAACCCATCAGGAAAACTCGCAACTAACTTTATATTCTTTCAGATATTATTTCTTTTAGTTGTAGTGCAAAAATTTTAAGAGGTGACCGCTTTGTTGGCGCTTTACAGGAAAAAGCTCGTAGATATAGACTGCAACTAGAAACACTTTATCAGAGAAGTGTTCTAGGATCGGCTTTAACGTCTTGTATAGTAGAAAAATTCGGAAACGATACCGTAACAGTATTCTTCAAACTAGCATTTAACAAAAAGAAAATCCCCAAAAATGTATCAAACATTGAAAAAACTATCCGAGATATACTAATAACAGACGCAATATCTCGAAAACCTGTCTTCAGAATGATACGTTTTGACCCCAAAAGTGTAGAAATTAAACAAATTAGAGACGTAGATACGTACCAAAGAAGTGCTACAAAACCAAAACAAACAAAAAATAAAACAAGCGTCGTCCTTAAAACACCTCGCAAAAATACAACACTTACAACAACCTTACCAGTTAAGAAAAAAACCGACGAGATTGAAATCAAAGAAGAAGATTTACCAGTAGTTCAAGGTTCGTTTAAAATAAGTAAGACCGACGCTGATATTACTGAAAAAAAGACTGAAAACGTATCTACCCCCAAACCTAAAACAACAACCCAGACGACTAAAACAACCACAGTTAAAGAAACTTCAGTCACAAGTGCCTTATACAAAATCGCTGCCATAGAAAAACTAAGCAAAACTAGTATTGGTACATCGATGACTAGTACTAGTACTAGCACAACGACTAAAAATCCCCTTTTCCCCAACCCTCAGGTGTTCAACGAACAACCCTGGATTCCAATAATACCCGATTTAACCCCAATTACAGTTCCTACAACAAAACTTCCTCAATTTCCACCAAAACAACCAGTCTATACGAGTTTCACAAACCCTAGTTTATCGTACCATAACATCGATATGGAAACTCTCGGTTCAACAAGTCTCAAAGGTCACCCAATTCCCGTTAATAAAATTCCGCAAGTGACTGAACCTTCTGTTTTTGAAACCACAAAAAAACAAACTGAGAATTCAGGTTTTGTTGAAATTGAGACAGTTAAGTACATCCCTGGATCGTCCGGTGACAAGCAAAACATGTTGAAAAACCTTTCAAGCATTTTTCATAATTTAGCGTCGACGTTAAAAATACCGGAAATGAATGTTAGCAAAAATGAGACGTTTTTGGGGGTTGCGGATGAGGATAGTGTGGGAGAAGGACAAGTTGAAGTTGTCGAAGCTGATGAGGAAACTCTAATGATGCAAACGACAAAATTGCCTCTAGTGACGTTAATTCCCGTCAAGTCAAATTCCGGGATTGGACGGCCGTTAAGGAAACGTCCGTTTAGAAATGAGGAAAATTCAACGGGTGATGTATCGGTTGAAAACCGAAGTTTTCCAGGATCGACTCGTTTGAATGATTTTTCCGCCCTAGAGAAAAATCCCTTGAAATTTATTGAGACTGAAGTAGTGACGTCGGTTAGTTCCGAAGTGAATAAAGTCAAGTTGAATAAAAATCAACTCGAAGACTTTAAAATAATCGGAGTACTTAATTTCGCAACTGAAGCATCAGAGGAACTTTTGAGGAATCCGAAAATGGATCCACAATCCAATGAAACGGAAGTTTTACGTAAGCATGAGCCCAGCAGCGAAATAACAGTTTACGCAACAAATTCTTCAGTTTCGAGTAACCGAAATGAGGCAAACTTTAACATCCTGACCCCCGAGAAGCTAAAACAACTATCCGAAATAAGCAAAATCCATGATAATTTAACCGTAATCGATAAGGAACCGGTTATTTCAAACAAAGCAATATCGTCGAGCTACACCGTTAATCATTCTGGCTTCAAAATCCTAACGAAAACTTTCAACAAAATCGATGAATTACCCAAAGATACTAAACTTAATGGCTACAATAACCTTGCATTTACGGCCATCTCCAATAAAACAGGTAAAACCTAAACAATTTAACTTTAGCTTTTTTTACGTGTCAGTTCCAGAGTGTGGTAACTTAACGATAAAATGTGGCGACGGCCAATGCCTGCCCGAAACAACCAAATGCAACCAACTAATTGATTGCAACGACGGCAAAGATGAACAAGACTGCAACTGTGCCGATTATCTCAGATCTCAGTACCTACTCAGAAAAATCTGCGACGGAGTCGTCGATTGTTGGGACTACTCGGACGAAAACCAATGCGGTAACAATAAATAATATCTCGATTTCAAAATTTACCAAACTTTCTCCAGAATGGTGCAAACCTGAACAGTACGTATGCAGCAACTCGAAAATGTGCATCAACAAAACGAAAATTTGCGACGGCTTGCGTGATTGTCCTCAAGGAGACGACGAACGACAATGTGTCACAATTGCCAAAAATATCGACACGGCTGATGAATTCCCCTACACTTCGGAGGGACTCCTCATGGTGCGGAAATTTGGTTCGTGGGGGAAACTCTGCGTTGAAAATTTACGCAACTTAGTTTTCCCGATCCTAGATTTAGGCAAAAACGTTTGCAAATCAATGACCTACCAGTAAGTTTTAAAATCAAATGTGACTTTCATTAATTGACACTTGACAGGTTTCTGGATTCTGTCAAAACTATCACTGAGACGGAATTAGGGACACCCTCTAGATATTTCGAAATGGACTATTCTTTTGAAAATAATAGTAAATATAGTCTTTCTTTTTCGGAAACTCAGTGTGAGACACGCAAGGTTGTGCAAGTTAAGTGCCAGTCGCTCGAATGCGGTGCTAGACCCCAAGCTGTGAAACACATCGCTAGGTAAATACCCCAAGTTCAATTTTGCCTTTAACTGAAACAGGCGAGCTTATAGGATTGTCGGAGGAGGCAATGCGGGTCTAGGGTCATGGCCGTGGCAGGCAGCCCTTTACAAAGAAGGCGAATTCCAGTGTGGCGCTACTTTACTTTCCGACACATGGCTGGTTTCAGCAGGACATTGTTTCTACCAGTACGACTTTAAATCTCACTTATCGCATAATTTCGCTTGTAGTTCGCAGGACGAGCACTGGGTGGCCCGTCTCGGAGCCCTGCGGCGCGGCACCGCCCTTCCCTCCCCCTACGAACAACTCCGTCCCATTATCCGAATAATCGTCCATCCCGGATACGTGGATTCCGGTTTTATAAACGACATCTCTTTACTAAAAATGGAATTTCCGGTTATTTTCAGCGATTACGTGCGCCCAATCTGTTTGCCCCCGCCGAGTCAAATGGTGCCCGATGGCCACTTGTGTACAGTTGTGGGTTGGGGTCAACTGTTCGAAGTCGGCAGAATATTCCGTGAGTTTTCCCAACTTGTCTCAATTTGCAATAATCGTTTAAATTCCAGCTGACACATTACAAGAGGTTCTTGTTCCTGTAATATCAACCGCTGAGTGTCGTAAAAGAACGGTTTTTCTTCCTCTGTATAAAATAACAGATGACATGTTTTGTGCCGGGTACGAGCGAGGAGGCCGCGATGCGTGTCTTGGCGACTCCGGGGGGCCTCTCATGTGCCCCGAACCCGATGGCAAATGGCTTTTGCAAGGGATCACGAGCAACGGCTACGGGTGTGCGAGGGCCAACAGACCGGGGGTATACACCAAAGTGGCCAATTATGTCACCTGGATTGGAACTCATATGAATAGAGATGATCACAATAGTACAAAAAAGAAAAGTATCTGCTTAGGACACCGGTGTCCTTTGGGGGAATGTCTCCCCAAAAGTAGATTATGCAATGGATACATCGAATGTAGTGATGGTAGCGATGAAAGAGACTGTTAATTAATAATTTTGTGTGTGATATGAACTGTATTATTTATGTACATAGAATGCCTTGACGTACTTTTTTGATATTTTTGTATTTATTCGGATATTTATAGATGTGTCTTTAGAAATAAAAACTTTTTATTATATTCACAACATTTTTTTACATAATTACTTCACTATATCACAGATATAAGAGCTGTTCTGCTAGTACTATCAACAAATTTGACATACCGTGCTTTACGTACATACATTGTGTGATTAGAATAACTAAATATACAAATCTATGATGAAAAAATAATTACTATGGTATAAATGACCAAAATATTAATTAGGAACTAAGTACAGGTCAGCCAGTTCAATTTGATGTAATGTTACACTTCCGGAAGCTAACACAAAATAATAAAAAAAATAAATATCAGTTTTGTGTAAAATAAAATCGGAAACTAAAATTTGAATGTTAAAAAAGCACGTACGTTATTATAAGGTCAGTTAGTCGTCTGACCAAAACCCGTTAAGTTCCCTTATATGGAAATATTTAAATTTGATAATTTATACTTGTTATACAATTGTGCGGTTACATTCTGTTAAAAGACAACAAAACAAACGTTTCTTATGTAACAATAATTCCAATTTCGCATGTCGTACCAGTCAAAACCATAAAACACTTTTGCCGTTATTTTTTTTAAATGTGTAGCAAATTTATTGACTTTTTGTTTTAACGAATGCGATGTTATGGCTAGCTTTAAACTAGGAGTACCAAGTTGAACCGCTGACTTGTATCAACAGTGTTAATTGAATTACATATAATAGTAATAAAAAACTGTGGAAAAACCGCTGAAATCACTAAAGATAATTGAAGTTTTCACTAATTTAACCTTGTCAAGTACAGAACAAATGTCTACGACTAGCGATAAAATATGTTCAAATACTGGAAAATAACGATTAGCTCGTGTTGGAAGTGACTTCTTTTTTCTCTTGATTCGTTTCTTCCGTAAATTCGGTGTCTTCGAAAGCAGGATTTGCTAAAGCGTCTTCGTATACAGCAGGAACGTCGTGATGGACAGGAGCCTTGACATTTAAATCAACGTCGACGAAGCCTTGCGGTGGTTTTTCGACATCTTTTTTTGTAATATCTGTACCAGCAGATGGTCTCTGCTTCATGTACAAGTGATAAAATGCAAAATAGGCTAAACCGGTAGCTGCGGTAAAAATTGCAAATCTTTGAAACGTTGACCGAATTCCATACATTTTTATCATATGACCGCCAATCAAACTTCCAATGCCTTTACCTAAAACAAATGTTTTAAAATTGTAACATTACGAAGGATACTTGTGACTAACCAACAGCAAAATATAAACCTCCTAATAATCCTTGTATGGTAGTGTCAGTAGTCACAGTTGATAACTTTGCAGCGTAAGTTACAGCAGCTGTGAAACTTAAACCGAAAGTAACTGATTCCATTGCTTCAAAAACCAAACACAACCAAGGATTGTAAATAAGAGAGTAACCGATTAATCTGATGGCGTAGAAAGCAAATCCTATGAAAATAACATTGGCATGTCCAATTTTCTTAATTATAGGCCCCGACAAAACTAACAGAGGTATTCCAACAAAACCACCGACTGTTATTGTTAGACCCATCAAAGATTTGGAACCACCTAAATCTTGCAACAACCAAAACAAGAAACTTTCAATGTAACCCCAAGCCGAGCCTGGAAACACATAAATTAGAATAAAATAGACCTTGGTATCACCCACAAACCTAAAATCAAACAAGCCACAAAAAGTACAATTAATTCCATTTTTCTAAGTACTGCCAGTACATCAGAAATGACACTTTGGGCCGGCTTTTTAAACTCCAAATTAATAAAAAGCATCAAAAATCCACTCACAATTTTCAGAGTAGCATAAAAAAAGAAAATTGGGCTAAAATATCAAAATACAGTGTGGTTTTTACAAATTAAGAAACTTACGTAAAATCCGTATACCCTTTTCCTCGACTAGCAAAATCGATAAAAAATCCTGACAAAGGTGAACTAATCATACCACCAATTGTTGCATAAATCCTCTGCAACCCATAATCGGCCTTATGCTCTCTCAAAATAGCAATAACCGCCCCTTCAAACATAGCAAAAGAGGTCCCACTCACAATCCCAATAAACACCCTAATTACTAAATACGACCAAAATGTCAATTGCATATCAAGCTCTATAACTCTGTTTTGGTTTGAACAAACTTTTTTCCGGTCTGCTGTCACTAAACATCTCGCTGAGCAACTCCCCAGTTCCAGGTGTTTGGAAATCTCGCTCGAGTTTACTTTTTTTATTGGAATATTGACAGTGATGTGTAGCCCCGGTTTAGAAAATCCTGGCAAACAAGACGTATTGCGATTTTTATTAAGTGTCAAATCGTAGATTTGCCGTTCTTCAAGTGTGTCTTCTTCGGTGATTTCAATCGGGTGAAGAATTCCTTGAAATTTGGGCCCCAGTTTTTGGCCAAAAAGATCAATCAAGCTTCGGGTGCCAAAAACACAATCTATGGATGAATTTGAAGCAAGGTCACAGGAAAAATTAAAAAGACTTGCTGTCGGAAAATAGTACGAGTTGTTGGCAAGCCGCCGTATTGATGTTAAATATCTGTCATTGTTTGTTAGAGTTTTATGATTGAGAGTTTCTGAGATTAGTTCCGGGATGTGTATGTCGTCTTCAGTTAAAGTATACGTATAGGTGTGAGTTGAGTTTTTCTCAACGTTGTATAATTGCAAACTGTAGGTGTTTGTTTTAAGAATCGCCTCGGTTTGGTTTTCTTCGAGAACAGCATGACAAGCAAAACCACAAGATTCAAGCTGAAGATCGGTGCGATTTTTGTTCCCTAAAGGTGTGCATTGATGCTGTTGATAGAGTGACAGAGACAGAGGGTTGCCTGTACTGCAAGACATTCCAAATACTACTCGGTCAGGATAAGTTATAGTGATTCTACCGACTGGTACTAGCAACAGCAGGAGAGCTGAGGCCCCGCCGATGGCCGAAAACAGGGCCAACATTACCTAAAAGGAGCTTGTCTAGATTTTGGCTATTAAAACCATGTTTGAGCAAATAAATGATAAAAATAAGGTGTTGTTTGTGCCACCTTGATAACACAAGGCGACAAAAAAAAGTCATGTCGTGACAACTTGACAAATTTTGTATCATTTTGTTCGTCTCAGTGAGACAAATCAAATGCATTAAAAAAGAATTTAAAAAGTCCATACACTTTGAACAAAATATTTTTTTCTAATTTAAATGAATTTAAAATACTTTAACTTTAAAAAATCATTACTCAGTAACTATTAGGCCGATTTCCTTCAAATAAAAACCATTCTAAAGGTCGCCTTACCCTTTAGAATGACATAAAATTTGAAATTAAATATTGACAAACTTTTCTTCGAACACAATGTTCGAAGAAGTTCGAAGTAAATCGAGATAATCTAAGAAAAACCTTACGAGTAAATTTTTTTCATCATTACCATCGTGTAGATCATCTCTTTATTGTAATCCAAATTTTCAAAAAAATATACCGAGTAGTTTTCAAGATATCATTTTTTGAAGTTATGGTTTGTTAATGAAGCATTGCTCCATATAGGAGAAATGCATGTTAATCTTACTTAAAATATAAAAGTATTTGTTTCTCTTCTTTTGGTTAAAAATGGTCAATTGCATCTTCTTTGTTCTAATTACAATAAACAAAAACTGTTTGCTTACTTAAAACAAATAAAGAGTACCTGCGTACTAATTAAAGCAAATAAAGAGTTTTTTTGTTGTAAAAATGACCACTGATCATTGAGCAAAGAGGATCTAGAAGTTTAAGGCACGAGTCTTAAATATAAGGGCAAATCTTTTTCAAATCAAATCCCTTTGCATTCAGATTTCGACTTGTTCACTTTGTTCTAGCTTTCTGAACTTTTTTTGAAAATGTTCTGGGCAAATGCTTTCTCATCACTTTCGAGTGATGTTAAATGCAATAAGTCACCTGATTTATTTTGTTGGTACATTCTAGGATTAGCTTCAGTTAGCTTGTAGGTAGTAGTTGTTGTGATAACAGTTGCACACGAAGCAACTGACTTATTGCATTCAACATCAGTAGAAAGTGATGAAAAAGCATTTGCTGAGAACATTTTCAAAAAAAAGTTCAGAAAGCTAGAACAAAGTGAACAAGTTGGAATCTGAATGGAAAGTCATTTAATTTGAAAAAGATTTGTTCTTATATTTAAAGCTACTGCTTTAAACTTCTAGATCCTTTTTGCTCAATGATCAGTGATCATTTTTAGAACAAAAAAAACTCTTTATTTGCTTTAATTAGTACGCAGGTACTCTTTGTTTGTTTTAAGTAAAGAAACAGTTTTTGTTTATTGTAATTAGAACAAAGAAGGTGCAATTGACCATTTTTAAGCAAAAGAAGAGTCTTAAAACAAATACTTTTATAAAAATGCAATTTTAAGTAAGATTAACATGCATTTCTCCTATATGGCGCAATACCTGAATAGCAAACCTTAACTTCAAAAAATCATATCTTAAAAACTACTCGGTATATTATTTTAAAAATTTGAATTTTTACTAATAAAAAGATGCTCTACACGATGGTGACGAAGGAAAAAAAAATTTACTCATAGGGTTTTTCTTAGATTACTTCGATTTACTTCGAACTTTTTCGAACACAGTTCCAATATTCAATTTCAAATTACATATCATTCTAAAGGGCAAGTGAAGGAAATCGGCCTATTAGTTATTGAGTAATGATTTTTTAAAGTTAAAGTATTTTAAATTCGTTTAAATTAGAAAAAAATTATTTAGTTCAAAGGTTGTGGGCTTTTTGAATTTTTTTTAGTGCATTTGATTTGTCTTACTGAGACGAACAAAATGATATAAAATTTGTCAAGTTGTCACGACATGACTTTTTTTGTCGCCTTGTGTAATTGAAAATGATTTAGATACAATGCGTCAGAATAGTCCTCAACATTTAAAAGTGGTCGCAAGGCTCCCAAATTTTTCGTTATTTTGCACAGGTGTGCAAAGTATTTATTGATGATATTGCAATTTCGAAACAAATAAATATGAAAGTGGTTACTTTGTTATGATAATTGATCCTTGAATAGTGTTGTTTGAGATGGAAATTCCGCGCGACTCGTCCTTACCCTAAAGTTGCCAATCTTGTCGGCAATCAGTCCTGCCAAAGGCGGCATCAAAACAGCTATAACAGGTGCCACAGCGGACATCGTCGCCGCTTCTTCAACGTTTATTCCCAACTCGCGCATGTGGATGGTCAAATATGGGTACAAGACCAGCACGGCTATAATTAAAAACAATGATCCGAAAAAATAATAAATAAACAAACGTTAATTAAGGTCAAATTTAGCAAATCTGTGTTGACAAAATTCGACTTACTTGAGGAATGCATGAAAAATAGTAACTTGAGCGGAAGGAGTTGCTTCTGTTTGAAATCTTTCGAAATTCGGCGAAAAAATAGCTTGAAGTAGTTGTTCATTTTCTCTGTCTGCAATTAAGAATCGAATTACGTTGAACTGAAATTGTAGATGAATGAGAGTATCAAGTGACAAAATTTTGTTTAATTTTTATCATACAAATAATAACAAAGTTCAGTCGGAAATATTTCTTGAGAGGAGAAGATATCACCGTTATAAAATTGATGATGAGGAGAACGTCAACAAACATTATTAAATTAGCTGAAGGTGAATTTGCTATTGTATAATTTGATGCGTTTGCCTTTCTCTTTTAGAGATGTGCCTACCTATCAACTATATTGATATTGCAAAAATATCTATACCGGCAAATTCATGTCAATGTTAAAAGTTTCAAGGAATTTGCAGTTTCTTCAGCATAAACGGAAAACTACAAATTATGGAGGGGCTTTTAGAAAACTAAACTATGTTATTGGCTTATTATTTGTTTAATTGTTTATTAACGTGACTAAACCAATATTATTTGGTATGTAATGACTTCGATAAGAAAATTTGCTTTCATACCAATACCTACTCCAAAATGAACGATTAACTAATTTAAAACAAATCTCTTGACTCTGATATATTACTTTCTAACTGTGCAAAAATAAAGCATGTGAAATTGGAACACCAATATGTGAAATAAATGACAATAAAGATTTGTTTTGGCGGGTAACGTCGCAATTTGAAAAAAAATTAAAAACTCACCTTAGTAACAATCAAATTTGTTCGATTTCTGTACCGTGTCACTTTAAACTTCACAATTTGATTAAATTAGATTCAAATAACAATAGTTTAGAGCACACCTAGAAATACAATTTGAAACTCAAAGCGGATGAAAGCAATTGGTGAGTGTGTAATCGAACAGTGACGGCTCAGAAGGCAAGTTGCGACCATACTAGTTTGGAACTCGCGTTGCCATCATACTCCTCACTAAGAGTCGCCGATTTCATTACGATTACTGTAATTATACTCTGTGATATGATGGCAAGTCTGACCTAGGTCAGGCCGAACCTGTCTCTTCTCTTCGCAAATTGTATTTGCATTTCCCTACCGTTAGTACTTTCCGCATAACATTGACCGGAATACAAAAAGAAAAGCCATTAATCTAGGCTATACAACTCCCAAATTATGCAATTCAGATCATTCTGACACTTGAATTAAACAAAGGTGGAGTCTGATTTGCATAAGGTGCTTGATAAACCTGAATTTTTCGCCAGTGTCAAGATTGCACATTTGGTGTCAATTTGATGTCTAATTTCATAAAAAAAATTATGGAACATTCCTACGACCAGTGTATCGGAGACGCGGAAGCAAGCAAGTTTCATTCAATAATATTTACTTTTCATTTAAGGAACTTTAGTTATATAAGAGAAAATTACGATCGAGGCTTGGAAAGCTAGCGCGTCTTACGTTGATTATTATTATTGCCGTCATCCTAGCTTTTGTTATTTGTTTATTCGCGCAATAACATCCACGTCTTAATTCTTACATCCGCACGTAAGGATTTTAATTGCTTTAATAGGTTTATTTCTGCACTTTTCTGATAAATGTCAACAATTACCATTAGGAATAGTAAGGATAATTTTTGTTGTTTTTTAATCTTTTCTATAGGCAACATTTAAAATAATTTGTTGTAAAATATGTTGCCTAGGAGCGTCGTATGTCAAGTAGGGGGTCTGTAAATCCTACCGGTCACTTGGACCACGATATTAGATCCAAAGGATTAAAGGAGAATATACAGTATGTTCCCGGTTTGAGTTTACAAGAGGAAAAAAAACAATTATCTTTGATTTTACGCCAAAACTGCAAAGGAAAACATTTTTTGCTTTACCTGAAACGAGCAAATCTGTAATTAAAACTTTATTATTCTAACTCAGTAAAAAGAAAAGTTCATTTTACTCTTGATTTTGGACTTAAAATAATTTTTCTCTGCTTTTTAAATCCCATCACATTGTCAGTTTTATTTTTTTGACAAATGAGTTTACGCAAGTTAAATAACAAAAATGTTTGTGAAAAACATAATTTTAATAAATAGCAACTCAAAGAAACAGCTTTAAGATAAAAACCAGTCATTTTTAACAAGAACTATCATTATTTAATTAATAAATTAATTGTCAAAGTGACATAGTTGTCAAATAAATAAAACCGCCAATGTGAGAGGAATTACAAAGCAGTAAGTGAAAAGTCCAAAATCAAGAAAAAAACTAACTTTTTTTTTCACTGAATCAGAATAATGAAGTTTTAAGTACAGATTTGCTCGTTTTAGGTGAAGCAAAAAATGTTTTTCCTTTGCAGTTTTGGCGTAAAATCAATAATTTTTTTTCCTCTTGTAAACCCAATCCGGAGACACAATGTAGCTAAAATTTAGCAAAGATGAAAACCGGTACTAAACAGAAAGTTTAAATCTGTTGGACTTACACCTTGGAGAAAATAAAATAAAGAAAAAACTAAAACATTTTTATTTTATTTAATTACAATGAATTTGGCAAATAATTGCATACTGTGAATCTAGATTTTGTTTTTACAATATATTCATGAATTTTTTTGATTAACATAATTTATTTTGTTTCAACATTTTTTCGACTTTGCGCTTCTTGCCTTCTTGATTTGCTACTATCAAGTCGCTTCCGCCAAAGCAAACTGAAAGACTAAAATGTGACCGTAATTGAATTTTTTAAATTTGACCACTACCTTGCTACCCATCTCTTATTGTTTAGCTAAATTATGAATATCAAACTTATCGTTCTCAAACCCCCCGCAGGTATTGGTGGTCGAATTGACCCGTCTTCTTAATCCTCCTCCTCCTTAATCCTCAAGTTTTATCGTAAGAGGATTAAATTTATTTGGTGGTCAAATTGACCAACTCCGGTTGCCTAGTACTCTCACTCCGATCACTTAGTCTGGTCAAATAGTCCTTTTACAACTAAAAAAAAATGTTTGATTTTTATACCAACTTAATTGCATTATTAGTTATTAAAATAACTTTCAATTGAATTACGCATTTTTAAGTGAGTTCTCATAGTATTATTCTCTTTACACATGAAATATGTTACACAAAGAAATAAATTGTTGTATCCATACACAATTCTCATCATTACGTAATAAAAATGCGATTGTAGTTTTAAAAACTATACAACTAAGGTAAAATAGTTTATTTTGTTGATGGCACGCATGTAACAATTGCCAATTTACAAAAAAGTAAAAAAAAAACAGACGATAAATTGCTTGTTTCTTAGAATCTAAAGTAAAATATTTGATTTTACTTAACAATCACCTACTTTAAAGCGTATCACTGATGTTTGTAGTAGTCATGGTTGACTAGACACGGTTATAAAAGCTTGCAGGTCACCAGTCGCCATTCCCACCCCAAACCCAAAATAACATGATAAATAAGTGTACTAAAATCGTATTGTTTAATTTACAAAATAAATACACTTTAGCACTACATTGACAATACATCCAATAACAAAAAAGAAAAAAATTACAATGGGTCATAATCAGTTCAAAAACAATTGCTGAAGTTGCACGATAAAATATGTTCTTCCCATGCCAACATTACTCAAAAGTAGTGTTGAACATGTTCAAATCCTCAAACGAAGCGGCGCCTCCTTGATCAAGCATTTGCAGCATGTCGCTAAGCTCGTGGGGCTGTGGTTGCGGGGGCGGCCCCGAGCCACTTGAGCCAGGCCCCCCGGATTCCGAGGTTTGGCTAGAGCTGCCTTGCCAGGTGTTCCACTGGTAGGACGGGCCGGGGGCGGCGCTGGCACGCGAGCCCCCGCTCAATTGGGTGTAGGTGGGGCCTGGGGAACGCGGACTCGGCTGGTTGTACTGATAACCGTCAGCTGCCGGTTGGGCTTGACGCAATGTCCAAGCGGCGGCGGCGGGCGTCGGACTCGTAGTACTACCTTTCGTTAGACGCCCCAAAACCCCAGCGCTGCTACTGCTTGCCGTCGCTTGAGGAGAGCCATAAGCGATGGGGGACGCCGTTGGCTCGTATGTGCTGTATACATTTTGTCCGCTGCTGGGGCGCGCCGTCTGCTGAGGGTCTGAAACAAAACGAATTTACATCACCAACTGAGGAAACAAACCTTATTATTATTAATCAAAAGACTAATGCTAGTGACAAAATCACTATTATAATACTCTTTCTGCTTTTAAACTATATCTAGAATTAGAAACTTATTCTAAATCTCTTTATTGCTAATACAAGACGATCAAAAAGTCTGTATATCAAGCAAGCGTAGAAATCTAAAACGTATGTCTGTTTAAGATAAAATGTCACAATGACAAATGAGAAATGTCAAATTATTTGTTATGTAAATTATTACAGGAATCCGTGGTGAACGATTTTTATGAATAAACACCAACAAAATCTTTTAGTTTGTTTTGGGACGTTTCATATAATAATTGAATTTAATTAGCTCAATGTTTTAATTTTTATACAATATTTTTTTGACATCTAGATAACATACGAATTGCCATGCAACATACGTCTTCAACTAGGATGCCTACCTAATCGAAAGACTTTTTGATCACACTATATTTTTATTTTCTTATTTTGCATCTAACCAATGTTAGTGACAAAATCACAATTAAAATACTCTTTCTACTTTTAAACTATAGCTAGAATTAGAAACTTATTCTAAATTTCTTTATTGCCAATGAGAACTAATACAGTGCGATCAAAAAGTCTGTCTATCAAACAAGCGTAAAAATTTAAAACGTATGTCTGTTTAAGATAAAATGTCACAATGACAAATGAGAAATGTCAAAATAATTTTTATGTAAATTATGACAGGAAACCGTGGTGAACGATTTTGATGAATAAACACCAACGAAATCTCATTTTAGGATGTTTTGAGACGTTTCATAAAATAATTCAATTTAATTAGCTCAAAGTTTTAATTTTTATAAAATAATTTTTGGACATCTAGATAACATACAAACTGCCATGCAACATACGTCCTCAACTAGGACGCCTACTTGATAGACTTTTTGATCGCACTGTATTTTTATTTTCTTATTTTGCATCTAATCAATGCTAGTGACAAAATCACAATTAAAATACTCTTTCTGTTTTTAAACTATATCTAGAATTAGAAACTTATTCTAAGTCTCTTTATTGCCAATGAGAACTAATACAGTGCGATCAAAAACTCTGTTTATCAAGCAAGCGTAGAAATTTAAAACGTATGTCTGTGTAAGTTAAAATGTCACTATGACAAATGAAAATTGTCAAAATATTTTTTATGTAAATTATGACAGGAAACCGTGGTAAGACGTTTCATAGAATAATTCAATTTAATTAGCTCAATACTTTAATTTTTATAAAATATTTTTTTGACATCTAGATAACATACGAACTGCCATACAACATACGTCTTCAACAGGACGCCTACTTGATAGAAAGACTTTTTGATCGCACTGTATTTTGTTTATACTCTTTTTCAAATTAATGTGCATCAAGTAGGTTGTAGAAGTCTAAATGCACCTTTAACTTAAAGGCGGATTTACACAATGTCATTCAGAACAAATTTAATTACATCAATAATGACAAAAATCTTTGTTTGCTACCCTATGCTTATTTTTTGCTACCTGGGGAACAAATTTATTTGAAAAAATAATTTATGGGGAAGATTGAGATTAGAATTGTTTGAATTTTTGCATTTTGCCACCTTAAAATGATCCCTTTCAACAACTACTTCGAAAACGAGTATACTAAAATTTAATTCAATATTTAATACCAAACCATTTAACGTAATAAAGAGCGTAACTTTTAGTTGGTTGGTTAGAAAAAATTGTGAGTAGAAGCCTCGTCAAGTCGTATTTTCACAAAAAGTGTTTAATAACAGTAATTTGTAACAGAAATGAGTCATTGGTAAAAAATAAAAACTACTTTATATTAAATTAG